ATGTATGTCGTAAGTGTGGAAGAGCCATGCTTCGACACATATGAGCCGGCTCGACCGGAGTGATACCACGGCTTCAAAGAAAACCGACTTGAAACAACGCTTACGTTGTGTTTCATTGTATAAGTGAGGTTATCGGAGGCATAATTGGCCCGCCATTAATTATTTCTCTGACCCAGGAATTATACCTTATTACATTTTCTTGGCAGTACCAACAAAGACATAAAATCTGGTTAGATCACAATATTAACTATAATAGCATGTTATTCACGTGAATATACTGAGAAAAACTCTACTAGTTTCGCACCACAGAGGGGTTCTTCCTCGAGTGTGCGGTGGCGGCGACGTCGCGCTCGTGATTCGTCGAGCTCTGTGGTTCGAAACTAGTAGAGCTTTTCTCAGTATATTCACGTGAGTTACCCGCGATTTAAGTTAATTTAGTATATTGTGTCTCTCTGCATCACCCTAAGGTTGACTGTTAGAGAATGCCACTAGGCACTAAGTCCGTCATTGTACATCTACAAAAAGTGTAAAATAAATAAATAAATATCTCACGATAGTTATTATCTATAAAAACAAAGATCACAATATACATCTCACAATTTTTAAAATAAATCTCGATAAAATACTGCAGAGAACAATCGAGATTGTGTCTCATATACAGGATTTACACGCACATCTTGTTACTCGCTGAAACAATAGAAATAACAAGATCTGAAACATCAAGACTTCAGACCTTTTTAAATGGGAATGTACAGTCAGCACTTCAAAATCTTTCAAGTAAAACATACATTTACTAGCAGTAATTTAATGCTTCGAAATGGTAAGGTTTTCTACTAATATCGGCTGAAAGACTATTATTATATATGCTTTTTTATTCGACTAAAGGGCACAAATATTAATTTAACATGCGTTGTAAAAAACTGCCCCGTTGGCCGAGTGGTCGTACGTGCGACTGCCGGGCAAGAGGTTTGATTCCTGGGTCGGGCAAAGTACAACTGAGTTTTGACAGTCATTTAATATTACATTGAACTTTTATTACTGAACAGTCGAAATAATTTATTTTAGATGAAGGCAAGTACCCAATTATTGCTTTGTAAATGACAAAAAAATGCTTTAACTTATGCTTCTTGAACCACTCACATCAGACTTTACCTTCTAACTGTACACCAGCACCGTATGCAGATGATATCTCTCACAATTTGCATAACGAAAATGATTTCACAACTTACACTTGAAATGGGTAAAGGGAGGGAGTAAAAGAGGAACACGTTGAAAGGAATAATAGGAACGTGCTTCTGCGTGATATGGAACGTAATGGAACGTTTTCGTTTGTTTTAATAATAATCATTACCACGAGTGCGTTCGCTGATTGTACCTACTTACCTACTTGGGGAGTAATGAGATATTTCGCTGATTGTACTTTGTTTTAAATTTTCGTGGATGTAAGAAATACGTGACAGTCGCGTTGTTGTAGTGGTGCAAGTAGGATTTAACTGTTATTTATTTGATTTTATATAATTATGCCTTAAAAATATCAATTTTATTAGACTTTACTAATGTTATAGATATTGATAATGAAACCGTAACAATAAGTTTCGATCAATTTTATTTTTAAAGTTGCCCCATACTAGGATTTTCTTCAGTCTCATGTGTGCATTTACAAACATACAAGTTCACATACACGTGACACCCAGGCCTATAACAACAATTTATCGATCACACAAAGAGTTGCTCCGTGTGGAAATCGAACCCGTTACTCGTTGCGCGGCAGCCAGTTGTCTAGCCACTGCACCAACTGTAAAGTCAATTTACTTTAAGGTTTTTCCACAAAACAAATATCACTTCATATAACATTTCGAACACACACCATGACCTCTTACTTCGTTGTCTATACTACATATCAAAGGACACCAACACAACACGATCGTTACCCATTACCTTTTAAAATAGAATAAATAATAAACAATCCCTTTACTGGAATCAGTAAAAATAAACGAGTATTGAAGTACACATCGTCTTCTCTAAGCATATTACAGAAAAATACGTAAACAGAGGAAATGCTTAATAAATCTGAATGTTCAAATATATTTTCTGTGTAAAGGAGAATTTTAGAAGTATGTACATTTGTCGTCTATTATGTATGTAGGTGGGCTAAAGGTATATATTTTTGTTGTAATATTTTTACTTATATACTTATTTGTTATAATTTTTCCACAGGACCTACTACTATAGACTGTGACTGATGCGAAGCGGACTTGTCACTGGACATGTACCGCGCAGGCCGATTTAATAAAATACTAAACTATTGCTGAATATCGCTTGGATAGATTACAATACACTAAAATGTAAAAAATATTAAAAAATATTTTTACAGTCATCCCAGACATTAGTAAAGAGATAGTTAATTGACTTTTTGTGTAACGTCATCATTATTACCTTCTGACAGACCTCTGCTGTAAAATATCTTTTACATGAGAGGGTTTGTCATAATTGTTGATATAGACGAAGTGCGTGAGGTTGCTATCTGGCGCATAATATTTAAAACTAAGTGTGGGAGAGCCATGGTTCGGCACGATAGAGGCTCGACCGAAGTGATACACGGCCTCACAGAAAACCGACGTGAAGCAACGCTTGCGTTGTGTTTCTTCGTGTGAGTGAGGTTACAGGAGGCCCATCCCCTCCTTCCCCCTTCCCCAATCCCTGAATCCCCAACAATCCTCAAACTCCTAATCTTCAAAAGGCCGGTAATGCACTTGTAACGCCTCTGGTGTTCCAGATGTCCATGGGCGACGCCGATTGCTTACCATCAGGTGATCCATCTGCTCGTTTACCGGCTTATGTCATAAAAAAAATATCCCCTAAGTATATGTCTACATGAACACTATGCCCACGGATATCAGGACGGTCTCCAGTCGGCTATCCTTTAAATTTAAAGACACTGAATATATTCAGAAAAAACTGGCACAATCAAGTCTCAGTTAACACCCTCCTCAGAATTTTTATATATACAATTATATAAAATATATAAACCCCTTATATATTATAATTATTTACATATTATATTTATATTTCATATTAGTATGTAGTATTGGTATGTAGTTTATGTACTGGGATACCTTTATGTATATACGTTCATTTATAACCCTTTTTTTAATAGATGCAAACTTCGTTTATTACCTACTGTTACACTTCCCAGCATCATCCTATGGTTGGCTGGTAGAGAATGCCATCCTGCATTAAGCCCGCCATTGTATACATATTTGTACATAAAATGTTAAATATATAAATAAACTTGTACCGGCTTCACCATTGATTCTTATTTTTGTTATTTAAATACAGGCTAACTTGTAACTCGACGTATTCCTGTATAATAATATTCGTGCAATGCGGCCTTTTTATTCGTAACTCTTCAATAATCTCCATGCAGGCCATCTGCGAGCAATCCATCTGGATTGAAGATCGCAGTTCAAAATCTTCAGGTTTATCTGAGAATGTTGCCGCTGAGTCTCTGTCAAATGTGTAGTCTCCGAATCGACTTCTACTTACGACGTCATATCCCAGACAAACTTACATTCAAATTCACACCGTATCGTATGATAATTAAGTATTTTTTCGACTGTATAACTTAAATATTCGTTCTGTGAGCCTCCTCAGACGGAATTGTTATTTTTACGTCTTACGCACTTAAAGCACATTGTCTTAGAGACATTTTATTCAAATACTGAGATGGGTTCGAATTTTCTTACTTTTCTACTTTTTTTTTGCTAGTCTAAATACAGGGCTTTTGGCTCAAAAAACACAGTCAATGTGGATGACACAGAACGATCGTTTATTGTTTTAACTCGTCGAGTACCGGTTTTGTAGACACAATTATAGAACAATAGGTTGCGGTCACCGGTGACCGCTTGGTGTTTGACAGTTTAACGAGAATTGCTTTAGGAGTTGGAAGAACTTTTTCAGTTTAAAAAAAAGAAAATAAAGAGCTATGTAGGTTTATATAGGTTAAGACTGAAAATGAAACTAGAGGTATAGTTGTTTTTACGCATGTATTGTTTTCGCTGGAAAATGTTAGACGATGTTTTGTTTTAGAAACAAAATTTTACTAAACATGAGCAAAGTTTGACCGTATTTAGTTCAGTGTGACATAATATGATGTCAGTTATGTATTTAATTCCTTTGCTATGTACCTAAAAATAATTCTGGATCTTACGATGTTATTGAAAAACTCAGATACTCAATTTTAGTACCTGATAATTAACTTAAGACTAGATAAATGTCTGGTGATGATAAATTCTATCGACAAGACAAACGTTATCATTGCAATCAACTCGAATAAGTTTCGTGTTAAGCAACAGTCAACTCTTATACCTACACCTTACACTAGTAATATAAAGAGGAAAAATTTGATGTTTTGAAAAATTATTTTATCTTTGGAATCATACATTATCCATGACGAACATAGGCTATATTTGATAAGAGAAGAGAACCGTGTGTTAATTTCGATAATGTAACCCGATGTGTGAAAAACCTACCAAAAACTCCTTATATTGCTTACGCTGTGGAAATTATATATTATATATATTTATAGACAATAGAGCAAAGTGATGTACTTGAGTCTTATAAAGAACATTAATATCAACTTTAAAGTATGTGATATCAAATGTCTAACTATAACAGTTATGCTATAATAACTACTTTCTCATCTAAAAACGTGCAATAGTACTGCAACTACAATAAGTAGTAATGCAAAAGACTAATTCAAAAACCCAACTTCTGCCAGAAGTCATTATTGTACGCGGACGAAGTCGCGGAGAGTAGCTAGTATTTTATGAACTTTCGAATACTTAGATGGCATCCCCAAACCAAGGATGGGGAGCACGGTAAACCCTTTAATATCTTTAGACGTTTTCGTTCGTCTTTGTGAGGTCTTAGTTTAGCAGTCGACATACCCTAACAGAGCTGTTGATAACGTGTTTAATATTCTCTTCTTTCAATTCCAGGTGTCAACCAGAACAGGCATCGTGTCCCACTATGTTCGATTGCAGATAGTGGTGCCGGAAGCCTTCATCCTCGGCTCAGGGGAACACCATGTGGATATGGGTAGCGTCATCCATCTCATCTGCATTGTTGAAAAGGTATGATACTTCTTTAAGTGGTGTAGATTGAACTGAATTGATAGAAATAAATTATGTATCTTTAGACCTAGATCTGAAGAGGGTTCTTTGTCTAAAATACCCATTATTAAAATACACACAATGCATAAAGTATCGTCGAACACGCCTCTTCTCGCCGCTGCTTTTCTGGAATTATGATCTAAATATAATTCAAAAGAATAACGTCCAAATTCTCATAGTCCACTTACAACACTCCTTTCAACAAAAACCTCGCCACAAGAACGCTCAACCTACTTTCCGAAATAAAAGAAAAAAAAACGAGAAAGCAAAAAAAAAACAATTTAAAAACGTTCCAGAAAGTTCCCGCGCGAATTATAGAGCGGACTAATTGCATGTTTTACAAAAAAATTATATATTTTTGCGCGGGCACCGTTTTTTTTTTCTTTTCCAACATTATTTTTCTTAACGAGGCCAGCTTGGCTTTGGTAGTGTGTAGAATCGCTTCGGCGGTAATTAAGAGCTGTGAGGTCGTGTTTGCGGGAACGATCTATCGATTTACCGACTCGAGAGCGGATATTTTCGTTTAAAGTCGCCATTAAAAGACGGCAGTTGGTCGGTGATTATCTTGAATTAAAATGGCTGCGCGTGTTGTTTGATACAAGTAAATCTTTGCAGAACCCATCCTGGCTAAGATTTAAACTTTTGAGGTTATATTAAGCTACTGTGGCATAATTTTGGACACTGATTTAAATACATACATGAATAATGTACTTTTATGCATGGATGGATATTGAAATATTTAGTCTTAGATTAGCAATAATCTAATTTATTACGAATGTCAAATATATATCTAAACAGAAACAAGAATGCCACTACATTTCGTCGGCTTCAATAAGCTTTTTAAGGGGGGGGGGGATCATCGAATCACTTCTTCCACCTGGGTGAGGCGGGAGGGAGTGTCAGACTGTTACTGACTAAAAACCATCCCGTCCCTACTCCTGCCCTTCGATCCGGCGCCCCGGCAACCCATTAAGTCCTCCGCGGCTCCGTATCGGCATCAGCCCTATCTGTGGTGGTCTGATGGTCTTTGAGGCGCGCGCGGAACGTGACGCGCCGTACGCTCGGGTGCTTCAATAGGTATAGACCTGATCATAGGATCTATATATGTCAATATAACGTTGCTCAAATATGGTATCTTCTAACAACAGTTAATTTATAAAAAAATTACAATTAATTGTGATACACACGTGACGTCAAGTATGTACTTAATGATAGATTATGGCCTAGCTAATGTACCTATGTATTTATATAAATCTATCCTTCCATACTGCCGAATTTCAGCGATAAAAATCACATAGCAGCCATTGAAACATCAGCCTTCCTCCTCAAGGATTAACAAGCATAATTAATATTTACTAGCTTCCGCGCGGTTTCACACGCTCTGCTCAGCTAATATTGGTCGTATCGTGATGTTTAATAGCCTATAGCTATCCTCGATAAATGCGCTATCCAACACAAAAAGAATAATTCAAATCAGACTTGTAGTTATGGAGATAAGCGCGTTCAAACAAACAAACAAAAAACAAACTCTTCCGCTTTATATAATAGTATAAGATATATGATTTATATGTATATTAGTATAAGATGATATCCTATATCTCAATGATGACGGACTTATACTATCTAAAGCCGGTTATTATAACGTCACACCTGGTTTAGGCTCTCACGCTGAAATGCGTTTTCAATACATTAGTGGTTCAGTAAGCACATGTATCGATCGGTTAATACCGTAGGCAAGCTGAACGCAGTAATTAGTGCTACGCTCCTAATTGTTGCTCTACTTAATTATAATATCATGGGTTTTGTACAGTAGAGGGGATCGGTAGAAGGGTTATAGTGTAGTGGGTAGTGTAATTTTTGTGGCTAATTTGTAAGTAATTGTGATGGTTTTATGGAATAGTATAATTATCATCTAGAAGAAAAAAATACAAAAACATTTTTGTTATAGTATTACGAGTCTAAATCTTGTCTTATCTACTATATAAAAATAAGTCGGGTTTTCATTCCTGACGCTATAACTTCTGACTTCTGAACGCACGAACCGATTTCCACGGTTTTGCATTCGTAGGAAACGTCTCGGGCTCCGTGAGGTTTATAAAACATAAAACAAATCATCTTTTTTTTAATTACCAAACGAAATGCTACAACAAGCCACCTGGTGGTGAAACGGAGTTCGCCGGGCTAGAATCGTATACTATTATATAAAGCAGAAGAAAGGTTTGTTTGTTTACGTTTATCTTAGGAACTACTGATCCGATTTGAAAAATTGTTTTTGTGTTGGATAGTCAAGTTATTGAGGAAGGTTATGGGCTATAAAACAACATGCTATAATCAATAGGAGCCGAGCAAAGAAGGTGGTACCGTGCGAAAGTAACTAGTTGAATATAAAGACACATTGTTTTCGACAACTTATAACAATTAACAATGTAGAAACCTATTTTTGTTGTTTGAGTTAATTTAAATAGAGAACGTAAAAAGATATTCAGGTTGAGAATTTTTCAGACTTCATTTGATTACAATAAATTACCCTATAACTTCTAAGGTTTCATTGAAAATAAACGTTCACATTTTAATTCAGTGGCAGATTAAATTCCATTTTATAACAAAAAATATCACATTACACGGTACAAGTGCCCTTGTGTGCCACAAGCACCATATTCCCTTATTGCCCTTCCCTAAATCCGGCCCTGGTAACGCATGACGTCAGCATAAACATGATACGAGATTTACATAATCGTGGTAATAGCGAAGCAAGGCGAGGCGAGGCGAACGAGTCGAGACGAACGAGACGAGACGAATGGTGACGTGTGAGGCAATGCCTGTTTGTTGGTATGCTTGCTATTCTCGCGTTGTCGCAGATAATTTGCATGTTCTGTCTTATACATTCTGGCGGTGAATATTTTTGTGAAGGAATGCTTGCTTGTATGGAAATATGAACGGAGTTTTTTGTGTAGTTTTCGTATGCGTTACGTGGTTTGTGGCGATGGTTATATATGTACCTATGTCTGCTGGGTTATTACAGTTTATTGCGACCTTTATGAGAGCTTGAATGATTTTTCAATCATCAGTTAACTGTTAACTGTAGAATATAATTGACCGCCTCGTTAGCAGACGTCGCAAGTGCGACTGCCGGACAATGGGTATCGTGTTTAATTCCTGAGTCGGGCAAAGTATTACTGGGTTTTTCTCAGTAGTAGCACGGAGTCTGGAATTGTGCCCAGTATATGGCTATAGGCTCACCCCCTATTACATGTGACTCGTAACATAAATAGTGAAAAGCCCCAATTTTCCTTCAATGAATAATCACTCTTACTCCTCACAAAATAAAGACCATGTTAATAAACCACTAACGATTAGTACTAGGGACAATGTTTACGAGCATGTGACCTGTCGTGCGAGTTTGGGGAGGTCGTAAAAATCGGTCGCCTCGGTTTGTCCCCAAATACACAAACACAGGGACAGTTGGCATACCAAATAGTTAGCAAATACTCTATTTAGTTACGTTTACAATGTGTGTTCGGCTTTCTTTCTTCAAGTATATCAGGATTCTTGTCATTAATTTCTTTGTTTCGTATAGTGGAAATGTAGATTGTAAGTCTATGACAGCTTCTTATGATAGTCAATTGATCACAATGGAGATAGGTTTGATTCCTGGACAAGGAAATGCTGCGCTTCTCATTTTTTGAAACATTCTAGTATCAGTATAGAATCAGCTATAGGTACTTACTTACCTACAGTAAAATCTTTAAATAAACAACATTTTTTATACGTTGCCCTACCCAGACCCACCAAGATTTTTTTTATTTTGGTAAGGTTTGTAATTAGTACCTATAATGCGTCAAGCGTGTCTTTGCATTGTTCTCACATATACGTACAGTATTGAAATATGTATCAGAGACATTGCAGAACATACTTTTTTAAAAAGAGTAACGAATGGAGTTTCTTCCTCGTTCTTCTCCATTCGAACCTACATTTTGGATTGAGCACCTGGCGTCACCTAGCTTCACTGACGGACTGACTGACAGACTATTATTTATTTTGTATTTTTTGTTGACGTTTCAAAAGTACCAAATTATGGTTTAATTGAAATAAATGCTTTGACTTTGATTCAAAGACTTGTTCCGTGCGGAATCGAACACGTGAGACGTTGCACGGCAGCCAGTTGCCACATCAACAGTGCAGTCCAACATTAACAGCCACCTACAACAGTCTAAAAGAAAACCACGAAACTTCGACTGCCAGCAAAATTAAAACCAATTTTTTTCTCTTATTCTCAGAGCCCAACACCGCCACAATACGTATTCTGGTACCACAACGACCGTATGATCAACTATGACGCGACGCGGGGCGGGATAACGGTTGAGACTGAGCCTGGCGCCCGCACGCAGTCCCGGCTGACAGTCCGAGGAGCCACGCTGAAAGACTCCGGGAACTACACCTGCAGCGCGAGCAACACTGAGCCCGCTTCCATTCATGTCTTCGTTTCGGAAGGCAGTAAGTAAAGAATCTTTTACTAACTTACACCTTTTTATGTTATTGTCATGATTTGAGGAACGCTGAAAACGATGGCACATCTGAATGGATTAGGCGTCCAAAAACTGTTTTGAGGATGTTCAACGAGTTTCAGGTCATACTGGGGCTCATAACCATAGTCGAAACTCGATGAACGCTGCGCAGTCAACAATTTTAGTTTTTCGCAGATAATGAAAGTAGTCAAGCATAACATATTATGATAGAGAGATATTAAATTAAAATTAGAACAAAATAAAACAGTAATGTAATACAGTGTAATACAGCATTTCTAATCAACTCTTTTATTTTTCCAGGCAACAAGATGGCTGCTATACTCCGACGCAACACTAGCGCTATCCACGGTATCACAACCAGTGGCACCTGTCTCCTGCTCCTAACCTCAATACTACTACACTTCGGTCTCCGATGACGTTAGTGCGGGACGGCAGATATTCAGGCACTGTATGAGAGAAAAGGACGGATATAGGATGCGAATTGCTTTTTTATTTGAGGCATTTTTTTTTTATTCGTGTGATTTTTTTTGTTTTAAAGATTAACTTGATATCCAGACTACAAGTATTTGTGGAGAACTTTATTATTATTGTTTTCTTTTTTTTACTAGGTATTGTTCAATGTAAGCTAGAACCCGCTACTTACTAGTAGTAAAGCAATCAGTTATTGTCTCAATCAACAGACAAACAGACTGGATTCTTTTTAATAATGTCTCGATTTGAACGATTTTTAGCTTTATATTTTTTTTTAATGAGTATAATATATTTAAAATACGTAAACCCAACCATTTACCCGACTGTTTAAGAAAGAGAATTACGTTTGTATTCTTTCAAAAATGTCAATCTCAGAAAGTCCTCATACAGTGCCAACATAGAAAATTAATTTAAAAAATAATAATAATAAACCAATCATTGAATTGTAACATAAGGTTTATTGTAACATTATGAAATAATTAGTTTACGTAACAAATATTATATAAAGACGTAACTTAGTTACTTATTACTTAAATTAAAATTTAATATAGACACAATATTGTACAGGTTATTGAAACAATTACTAGTAACTATAGCTAATAATATTATTATGAAATATTGCTGGACATTTGTGAGAGAAAAAAAATTGTGAAACTTTATGAAAATTGTTCTGATGGTATAAGTCTCATAAAGCTGTGTACACACCTGTGAATGTAATTAATACTTTATAATATTTATAGATATTATCATAGTTATCGGTCAGTAACTTTTTATGGAATAAGCCGGTAAACGAACGGAAGAATCACCTGATGGTAAAAATCGGCGCCGCCTATGGACACCTGAAACACCAGAGGTGTTACAAGTGCGTTACCGGCCTTTTGGGGATTAGGAATTTGAGGTTTATTTGGGAGATTGGGGATGGGGGTAATTGGGCCTCCGGTAACCTTACCCACACGACGAAACACAACGCAAGTGTTGTTTCACGTCAGTTTTCTGTGAGGCCGTGGTATCACTCCAGTCGAGCCGGCCCATTTGTGCCGAAGCATGGCTCTCCCACACTTCTATCCTACTTTTTTTTTTTGTCGCGGTGATCCTAACCGGTAACCGGGGCTCCGGCTCGACATGCATTAAAAGGAACGGGGTGGTTTTTAGTCAGTAAGAGTCTGACACTCCCTCCCGCCTCACCCAGGCGGGAGCAGTCTTATCAGATGGAAATGAATATCGGTTACTATGATATCTCAAGTCGGAGTATCAATTTTTAAAGTTCAAGTTACAAGTCTTACTAATTAAGACTTCTTTAAGTAAGAATGTCAAAAAGTAGGTTGTTCTAAATAGTACTACATCCAAAGAATAAGTCTGCATAGAAGGTCATAGAAAAGATGGCGGACATTGTGTCACTTATGCCCGGGCCACACCAACGAGAAATGCAATTGCTTATCGCGATAATGCACGTTCACCGTAGGTGTAGCCACGAGTCAACGCGATAATTTGACAACGGCATTCACATTGCCGTTTGGCATGATGGGTATTCACGTTGAAATTTCAAGTGTAGCCATCACTTTAACGCGTTAAATTTATCACAATAATAATCGTATTAAACATCGCGATAATCGGCATTGACGTTGACGTTAGTGTGGCCCCGGCATTAGAAATGCTTGGAGCATCAAAATGTCAGTGGTTTATTTATGTGTGCGTGTGTAAAGGGTTACCACGTTACCAGACTTAAGAAAATGACAGATGTCCTTCGTGTCAATGTGTATGTTCTGCGTGTAAGTCTGTAGTAATCTGGTGCCACAGTCATTCTATCAAGAGACTGTGTTCGCCTTTTTTAATGTACTTGTTCACAAATACAATCTATACTAATATTATAAAGCTATCTCCGAAACTACTGGACCGATTTAAAAAAAATATTTTTGTGTTGGATAGCCTATTTATCGAGGACGGCTATAGGCTATAAAATATCACGCTACGATTAATAGGCGCCGAGAAGAGCGAGTGAAACCGCGCGGAAGTAGCTAGTACATTCATAAGTGTGTAACAGAATATGATATACAAACATAATACGTATATGAAAACAATACCAACCTTAAAAATTCGAATAATTATAAAACTATTTGTAATATTGTTGTTCTCAAAAAATGGTATAATATAAGGTTCTGTCATTACTCATTATACCTATAAAATAATGCTCAAAAAAATATTAACAAAATTCTGATATTCGTATGTAAATATTAATAAAATAGTTCGATTCATTAAAATTGTAAATAATTAATTATAATAGGTTACATGGCGAACGGATTTTACTATTAATTTATCTTTATTTTTAAAACTATAAACCTCTTTTAAAAAAAAAGAAATGTGTTCTCAGTAAAAATATTTTAAAACATTATTTTGCTCTTGTAACAACTAATAAAATGTAGGTATGATGAACTTTGTTAAATTCAATTTACAACTTGAAAAAAGATTTCAAAATGAAGTCAATTAACAATGTATTCAAAGAAAGGAGTATAGAATATTTATAATAATGCAAATCCGTGAAAGACTCCTTACTACATTTTAATATTTATAGATATTTAAATAATTAAATAATACGGCTATTCAACAGCGGACGCTTGCTGGTCGTTATTAAGAGACCCGGTTTTGGCTTGAAAAAAGTTGAGCGACCTTGATAAGTTACATGAATAAGCCGTATTTTGGAATTAATATAGTATGTCTCACGGTAGGTATTATACAAACAAAATAATTTATACAATATTAATTTTATTATGTATAATACTTTTTTTGTTCTCTGAAAACCTAGCGTAAAAAACTAGCCAACCTTATTTATATATAAATATGATAAGTATAATCGATTTTACAGATTTATGAATATTTGTATGTATTTTAATTACATAATTAATAGTTATATTTTAAGCTGTTTATTGTAACAAATGACTAGGTAATGATGAGACATGAGATTATTATTATCCTATCCTTCAGCATATTTGATGAATAAAGAACATTCACAAATCACACGTAATAGATTAATAACTTAAAGTCTACCTCTGCCTTACACGAATTTGTGTAACTGTCGTCAAAGGGTCTCAATTATGATTCTTTAGTTAAACATTTGTGCAAGCAAAGCATAATTGTTTTCTTTTATAGTCATTTGAGTTATTCGTTTATATATTCATTTAAGTTTTTCATATTTCGGATAACACAAAATTTGGCATTGAACCCAGTGTTTGGCAATAAGCTTATTACTTATCATTAAGTGTGAGAAAGCCATGCTTCGGCACGAATGGGCCGGCTCGACCGGAGTAACACTCCGGTCCGCCACGGCCTCACAGAAAACCGACGTGAAGCAACGCTTGCGTTGTGTTGCGCCGTGTGAGTGAGGTTACCGGAGGCCCAATTACCCTCCCCTTCCCAAATCTCCCCAATTCCTGAATCCCCAACGATACTCAAACTCCTAATCCCAAAAAAGCCGGTAACGCACTTGTAACGCCTGTGGTGTTCCAGGTGTCCATGGGCGACGCTGATTGCTTACCATCAGGTGATCCGTCTGCTCGTTTACCGGCTTATGCCATAAAAAATATGGAATACAAAAATTTTAATAATAATGTTATGTCTCATACCGTAGTCAAAAAAATAATTTACCATTAGCTATGCCATTACCGTAATTGAATCTATGGTTTAACCATAGTCTAGAATAGCCATGTAAAATACCAAAACGTATACTTTGAACTAAGATTTGAACGTTTAAATCTAAAAGTTTGTTATCTCCTGTAAATATAATAGGAAATAATAATTATTATTTATAATAATAATAATATTGTAATAGTAAATTAGTCTTATTATTAGATAATTTGTATATAAACTCATCAGTGTTACTAAATCATTTAATGTAAATACTATTTCGGTGATCATGTATGCAATAAATAATAAATTTCCTTGGATTTTGATTTTTATGTGTATGCTTATAAGGCTTTTTTTAAGGATTAAACCATACAAATAAATTAAAACTAAATAATTTACGAAATAACTAAATAATAACTTCGCCAAAGTAGTAAAGTAGAAGACAATAAGTTACACAAAAGATTACCAAAACTACGCCTAAGACTAATTTATTTCAAGTATATCATTTTGTTTTTAACTTAAGTTATTATAACCAACATATACCGTATGTATATTGGATCTTATCCACCCTGATACACAACATACTTGTTTTAGTCTATGCCAGCAATGTACAAAAAATGAGCAAAATCGGCCCACTAATTAAGCCATAAAGTGCCATTTTCTTTTTGACCAAATGTAAACACTCTTTAACTGGGTCAATGAACTCAAAAGCGCGACGTTGCCATTTTTCCTATTTTGGTTTACAAAATGAAAAAAGAATTATATAATCAAAACCACGTCCAAAGTAAGATGATAGGTACGTCACCGCACCGTCTACCAATCCGTATTTTGAAGTGTCTTAAAAGTACCTGTAAATGATGATAGTAATGATAAATATTGCAGAATGCAGATTAGGTGTTCAAGTAAATGGTATAGAAGAAGTAATCGCGATTTATCTTTAATTTACATGTTAGGTACACAGTTACACACATTAAGCTATGCCAAATTAGTATAAACATTGAATATGAGAATTTTGTCATGAATGTGTTACAAAATATGTTAAAATACTTACTTTAGCAGACCCTACTCTGCTGACTGATAGTTCAATTTCATTCAGAAAGGCCGTTTATTATGAATGGATCAAAATTTATTTTTTTTTATTCGGAACTGTGGAACTATTTTTAGGGCTGATTTTTCCAACGCCAGATAAATTTTATTAGAGGAATAACTAAAAATTGCGGGTTACTCACATGAATATACTGAGAAATGTGAAAAAAGGGTAAAAATGAAACATTATAGGTAACAATATTTATTTATTATCTCCCAATATTTATTTCCACCATGATTAAAACTCATTATGCCAAAACTGATAGAAATTCAAACCGTAACATTTGCAAAGGATTTTTTTACAACTAATAATAATAATTACAAAATTATTAACAATTGTGTTTAACCCGTGGTTTCGTTTATTCTATTGTATATTTCATCAATGAATGCAAAATCACTTTGAAATATGGTACACTAACAAATAAACTGAATTAGCTAAAAATTTTGTAAATATACTGAGAACAGCTCTACTAGTTTTGAGTCACAGGGCAGAAGAGGAAGACTTCCTCTGTGACTCGAAATTAGTAGAGCTTTAGTTAATTCAGTATGTCTCACGATAGTTATTATAAAAACAATAAATAAACTGTTTTATTTCATAACTAAAAAAAAAACTTGAAAAAATTATACACACCGTATACAATTTACATTTGTGTAATGACAAAATAATTATATTTGTTAAAATTACTCTCAATAACAGCACGCAATCTAGACATAGGTTCGTTATGTAGCAGTACTATCAGCAATCTAATTACAATACTGGACTTATAAAACATCAAAATTGAGTGTACTAGGAGTAGATACATTCGACAAATTTTAATTATGGCTTACCACGGGATTTTCTTTAGGGGGGGATAAATCATCGAATGACTGCTCCCGCCTAGGGAGTAGCGGGGGGGGGAGAGTATCAAACTCTTACTAAAAACCACCCTTTCCTTCTCTTGCGCTTCCAGCCGAAGCCCCGGTAACCCGTTAGGTTCTCCGCGACATGACTTACCACAGGATAGATGTGCTACAGACATTCAAACACATTTTTATCGGATAAATCGGTTAACGAGCAGACGTATCACCTGATGGTAAGCAATCGGCGCCACCGGCATTCTGGAGCTTAGAGATTTGAGGATTGGGGATTCGAAGATTGGGAACAGGGATTAGGTGGACATTCGCGTGACTCACGTATCCGTGGCAACGATTTTGGTCTGTATCATTTCATCAATTTCAAAGAACAGATCGAACAACTGAATTGAAAAAAAAAAGATTTTTTCCTAGACTCGATGCTGTTATCGAGAATTTAGTAATCAATACACAAACCAATTATAGCAAGTAAATAAATTATTACCCTTAAAACTAATCACTAGCACTTATAGGTAGCCATTTGTTAAAAATCAAGACTCAACAATATACAATACATAATTGTTCAATTAACTATTTTAATGAAACAAATATCACCATATTGAGCTACTATTTTTTAAACTACTATTGGTAACTAAGTTTTAGGATCTGAGTTATGGTAGACACCGTAGCCTAACTACACCTGTAACACCATAGGCAACGGCGTTTGCGATCTACAGACGATTAACAAGTCTACAGGAAATTGGATTGAATTAGTTATTTTTTGTTATAACTGTCACAGCAGGTCAGGACTGCTTTTGCAATAAAACATTTTTTAAACTTTGGCCCACACTACAATTTTCTCCTGTGTCGTGGGTGGATTACAAACATACAAGTTCCCATTCATACGACACCCAGACCCGAAACAACAATTTGTGGATCACACAAAGAATTGCTCCATGCGGGAATCGTGCCCATGACACGTTGCGCGGCAGTCAATTGTTCAGCCACCGCACCAATCATGCCGTCTTGAAATGAATTCACCGTAAGCAAAAGTTGAGTAAATGTCATCGCATACCTAATAAGCACGGCTCCAGCACGGCTCCGGCACGGCGTTTTTTACTTTGGGAAAAATACAAAAACACGTCGCGAGGGCGTGCGCTTACAGCTTTTTTATATTGACATTATGAAATATGTCATACGACATACGACTTAAACTGTCAAACACCAAGCGGTCCCCGGTGACCGCAACCTATTGTTCTATAATTGTGTCTATATTGACGGTACTCGACGAGTTAAAGTTCATATTATTATTTATTAATGACAACTCAATTGCTAGGTTGGAGCCGTGCTTGTTAGGTGCGTACTCTTGTGAAGTCGGGATGCGCGGATATTCATTTATGTTTAAACAGCAATAGGAACATCTATGACTCACTCACTACCACTTTCAATACGTTTCCCAAACCATTAAATAGTGTACAAATTGTCCTCAAGGTTATTTTCTTTTTCAATCTCTTTGACTGCATTTAGGTGTAGCATTGTTCTCACACAATCGAACCAATAAAACTACGTGACTAGAGAATTGTATTGTAAACCCGATTGAAAAAGAGTAACCTATGGAGTTTCTTGCTTGAGCTTCCTCATAGGAATTTACACCTTAGAATGAGCAACTAGCTTCACTTCAAAATTTTTGTTGTTGACGTTCAAAAGTGCCTTCCTGGTCTAATTGAAATACATGATATTGACTGTGACTGTGACTTTGTTGTTTTTACTAACTACTACTTAGTTTGTCATTTCGCTAACAAACGCCTGAATACTGAAAGGCTACTCAAAGGGCATTGATTAAAATTGGTGCCTTTCTTTTTTCTGGCGGCAGTCGGTGATTTATGGAAAATATTATCTAGAATGACATTACAAACGAAATTATCTATGGGCTTATATATGGAAATCTCAGTCTGGACTGAGTTATGAACGTTGAAAGGAGCTGTAGTCAAATATTTTACTTTGGTTTTTTATTCAAATTATTCATATTTTTGTCACAATTCCTCAAAAAAAAGTCAAAAGTCAAAGCATTTATTTCAATTAAACCATAGTTTGGTACTTTTGAAACGTCAACAAATACAAAATAAATAATAGTCTGTCAGTCAGTCCTAACTTCAAATTGCGCGCCACTGTACTCCGGGCACAGGAAAACCATATCACACCACAATATATTTATATTGCCAGGCACTAATTTTTATTACCTATTTTCTCTCAGTCGATAGCTTGTGGGATGCTTCTAGGAGTTGTATCATGAAGCTTCACGAGCGTCAGCTGTGGTACCAGTGGTGGGTTAAGTAGTGATAGTCGTCCAAACATCTAATAAAGTATATTTTTTTTCCATTGACTCCTAGTGGGACACTCATCTACTTTATAATTAGCATAATATTTTGAAGAAACGAAACCGACGACTTTTAAAGTGATCAACGCTACTCAATCCGCTACCGACGCCGCAGCTGACAAACATAGCATTTCATGATAGGGCTCAGTAAAGTATTTTGCGGGTTTTCGACTGAGAGGAAATTGGTCATGAAAATCTGTCATAGGCCATAAACCGTATACATATAAAGTGAACATGCTGGTCAATCAAGTGAAATGTTTTTTTTTACTTCAGCAGTGGCCAGTTTGGTTCGCTCTGTTCTGATTCCGAGGCCTTATAACAAAAAAAAAAACAAAACAAAAAATATTAAGTAAGAAGTCCACCACACTAAGCTTTATTTTATTCCTTGAAATCGTTTGTAAACATTTATTATACAAAATATTTCTGACAAGTAAATTAAGAAATATGCATTGTGTTTGAATACGAAATAAAAAGTGCAGCGTGTCTCGGACTGAACTGCCGCGCACCTTGCACGCCGTGTTTGGACTCACCTTAACTCGTCGAGTACCGGTTTTGTAGACATAATTATAGAACAATAGGTTGCGGTCACCGGTGACCGCTTGGTGTTTGACAGTTTAATGGAGTTAGTGGAGAGCGGTCACCGGTGACCGCTTGTGGATTGAGCAGTAGTTACTTGGTGTCGACTCAATATTGTATTCTTTAATTCTCCTCCATCAGACATCATCACATTACACCTTTTAGCCTCAACTTTTTCTTTTTTTTTATGTAGCTCTACAAGGACTTTCTTCTGTTTTATGGGTGCAATACAAATACAAATTTCCCTTGTACCAAATTCAATGGCGATAGTTTTTATTACTAGTTGTGTACCTCGTAATGCTCTCATAAGGTCATGCTAGCTTCTGCCGACTGATCCTGCTGCTTAATGAGGTTCCAGTAGAAACCCTTCAGTTTCTTCAACTGAGCGTGGGTGCCCATCTGTGAAACAAATGTTAGTTAAATAGGAATTTTGATAAAGTAATTCGTATTGGAAAAATATTATGTTTCAATTGCTATTGAGAGGCGTTTGCGCCTGCTAAGTACCAAAAAGTGCCAGAGCGGCTGTCACGCTAGGAATTTCAGGTTCAATTCCCGAGCTAGGTAAAAAATATTTAGCTTTTCCGAAATTCTCAACGATATAGTAGTGTAATAGTGGAATAGTAGTGGTATGGTATTTTTTTAAGGGGGGAAAATCATCGAATGACTGCTCCCGCCTGGGTGAGGCAGGAGGTAGTGTCAGACTCTAAAAACCACCCCGTTCCTTCTCCTGCACGTCGAGCCGGAGCCCCGGTTACCCGTTAGGTTCTCCGCGACAGTGGTATGGTATGGTGCCTGATAATTATACGCCAGCTCGCCTCTTTTTGCGTAGGATTTACAAGATAACAGATAAAAATTGGGTCTAAAGTTTAATAAATATTGAGAAATAAAATGCTTGATATTATGTCACATTAAGTTATGTTATAACCTTACCTCAACTATATTTCCCTTGTTCAGCACAACAATAAGGTCAGCGTTCATGACAGTGGACAGTCTGTGCGCTATGACTAGTACGGTGCGACCTTTAGCCGCAGTCTCTAACGCTGTCTGCACTACTTTCTCGCTTGCTGAGTCCAAGGCACTGGAATATTGAGAAAATATATTTAAAATTGGTTAAAGTTACTTGATTTTATTTATTTATTTATTTATTTATTTATTTATAATTCATGGAGGACTTACAGCATATAAAAATGGATAAAAATAACAATAGGCGTAGGTAACAGTGAGCCAATAACAAGTCCTCACGTTTAACATTTGAAATAAATTAATTAATATGGTGTGAGTACTATACAATATTAAAAATACATACATTCTGCGTAAATGGAAAAAAATAAATATTGAAACAGACCGTACAGACAATATGATTATGAACAGATCAAGAGAAACGATAAAAAAAAAACTAAAGATCTAGTGCTGCTTAAAAAATTTAAGGCTTAAGCACCTCTTTGCCGAGTTCACACTAGTTGTTGTTGTTGTTTAAACCCTTAAATGTTGTAGAAACCCGGAGATTTCTCATGCATGAGGGCGCGGGCTCGAAAACTACCAACGGCCATTACCAATGTGACTTTTTCCGAGTTATATGTTAATAGTATTAAGATATATGTTAATAGTATTAATATTTAATAGTATTAAGATACCATTGACAAACGGTGAAGGAAAACAACGTGAGGAAACTTGGGCTTATAATTTCTAATTATAAGTTTCGCCAACCCGCAATGAGCAAGCGTGTTGATTAAAGCTCAAACCTTCTCCGTGTGAGAAGAGGCTTTGCTCAGCAGTGGGCAGATGATGATGATGAATAATTTTGAATATTTGACAATTTTAATTTCAATATTTCTATAGTAAATACTATCAAATCTCAATTTTATTCTACTCTACAGTTAAGAATTAACTGATGATTGAAAAATCGACCCTAAGACTACTTTATGCTCTTTCATAAAGGTCAATAAACTGTAATAATCCAGCAATGATGGTGATGACTTGATTTTGAACTCTACTACAATATCATAAGACTGAAATCATAGTGATGATATAATTTGTAATGCCAAAGTGTTGGGACGTGATTGAGACTACATGTAGTTTTCATAGTGAGGCAGCGTATCATAAAGCTTGAGCGTTCCGACATTTCTTTTTTTTTGTTTATCTACTTGATTGAACGCGTCCATCTATGGAAATACTGTTACAAATTTAAACATTGTTTAAACTATGCAAGATAATCCATTCATCGAAGATTGAGCACTACGATTAACAAAATCCAAGTAGCTGGTTAAAGCGCGCTGGAATAGCTAATTTAGAACACAGCTAGCGACAGTGTTTGAGCGAGCTCAACTAATTTCAAGCGACATTCGGGACCCTCATTTTTTAATCTTTGTATTTCTCACAACAGTTGGTTTACATAAATATAAAACTATTCACTACATTACCTTGTGGCCTCATCCAGTATAAGTACAGGGGGGTTCTTGAGTACAGCTCTAGCGATGGCTATCCTCTGTTTCTGTCCCCCACTGAGAGACATCCCCCGTTCCCCCACTAGAGTATCATACCCGTTGGGGAAGCCAACTATGAAGTCGTGAGCATTCGCTGTTTGGGCTGCTCTGTATACCTGGCGGAAAGAGGGCACATATTAAGCATATTATTATTATTATGTTAATGGTATTTAGAACTATGAACTGTTATTTCAAATATTACATTATAACTAATGCAAATAGAAGGCAGTTGTGTTAAAGCCATAGAATTTAAGGTGTTTTATTATGCCTATTACAATAAAAATTGCATCAATAAAAAAAGTAAAGTGATCGTAAATGCGATTGTTTGAATAAGGCTCATCATCACTGGCCTTTTATGTTTCGTATAGAATGTTCTTCTTGTTACTAGTTGAGAAGAGTATGAAAATAAGGTGTGCCAAGAGGCTCATCAACGATGAAGCGCTTGTGGAGGCTCGGCTTCAAAGCCTCGAACACAGGCGTAAGGTTGAAAGCCTTTCGGTTTTCTACTGGATACATCTCGGAGAATGAGCGGTGGGAATTGCACAACTTGATTCCTCCTAGTCCTTTCCATCACCGTACCACCAGACAATCGGCGAAGCGTCATCGATTCATGGTAGATGTCCCACTCACACACACGAAGGGCTATGCATCAAGCTTCCTTGTGCGTACTGCTAAGGAGTGGAATTCTTTGCCAGAGTCTGTATTTCCTGAAGGGTATAACCTGGTAGTCTTCAAGGCCCCAGTGAGTGAATAGGTTGCTTATGGGACGACGTGCTCCATCGATAGTTGTCAAACATAGACCCATCAAATATAAAAAAATAAACGTAACCTTACACCTAAAGCACCTCCTTGCTTGCGTATTAAGCAGAATAAGTTACTGCGGCACCAGCTCGAAGCAGCATTTTATTTAGCCAGGAAGACTCGACACTCCTTCACACCTCACCACGAGCGGGAGAACTCATTTGATTATTTCTCCCTTCTAAAAAACACCTTAAGCACGTGCTTTCAAGCCTGCTTTTTGCAATGCATTTTTAGGTGTCTAATGAAAGCTTTGAGTTTTAATTTAAAACTACTTACATCCTCATCAGTAGCCTCAGGGCGTCCATATCGAATATTCTCCTTGACAGTAGTAGCGAAGAGTACAGGTTCCTGGCTGATGATACCCAGCGCTCGTCCCCGCAGCCACTTGCCGTCCATCTGCCGGACGTCTATACCGTCTATTGTTACTTGCCCTGCGTCTACGTCGTAGAATCTGGAAGTTAAATATTTTTATAGTAGTTGAGTGGAAGAAGTATACAGAGCGGATATGAATGGGGCCGTCGGTAGAGGACGCCCTAAACGGACATATTGATTACCAGATTGGCGATATATTAAACTGTCAAACACCAAGCGGTCACCGGTGACCGCAACCTATTGTTCTATAATTGTGTCTATAATGACGGTACTCAACGAGTTAAAAGTACCCTTAATCGACGAGCATGCATGAAAATATTGATGACAGTTGATGAAGCGAAAGAGGTATGTAGGAATCGTAGTAATTGGCGTTCCATAGTCTCTGCCTACCCCCATGGGAGACAGGCGTGAAGTTATTTATGTATGTTGAGTGGTGGACCGACGACATCGGCAGAGTAGCGGGGAGCCAGTGGATGCAGGTGGCGAGTTGTCGTTCGACGCGGAGGACTAAGGGGGATGCCTTTGTCCACCAGTGGACGTCTTCCGGCTGTTGATGAGAGTACCTGAGTGTCGTGGTGGCTCAGAGGTTCAAGACACCCGCTTCTCAAGCACGAGGGTGCGGGCTAGAAACCTACCAACAGCAAAGTACCAATATGACTTTTCCGAGTTATATGTACTTTCTACGATTATTTAGACACCACTGACAAACGGTGAAGGAAAACATCGTGAGGAAACCTGGGCTTATAATTTATAATTATAAGTTTGAAATCGCCAACCCGCATTAAGCAAACGTGATTAATGCTCAAGCCTTTTCCGTGTGAGAAGAGGTCTTTGGTCAGCAGTGGTCACTTATAGGCTGTTGACGATGATGATGATAGTATTTGATTGTTAAAATGTAAATGTTATTTTGTTGTATTTTATGGAATACATCGTCAAACGACCAGACGGATGAGCAATAACGAGCGCGTTGCCAGCCTTTTAAAGGTTAAGATTTAGGGATTGGCTGCACGGATGTCGCAATTTGACGCCAATTTGATTCCAACGCGTAACATTATTGTTTAGAGATGATGATGATACATTATAGATTTTAGTCTGGGTGTAATTTGTATGTGAAATTTGGCATAGAATAGGGTAGTTTCCAGTATTTATATTTAATGTTCGTCTGGTACATTAATTTAAAACTTTAGACACGTAGTTTTTCTTGTCTCACAAAATTAAATACTTTCGATGATATATTAATTTGAAATATGGTGTGACGTCACAGCGTGCCACATTTTGTAGCACGTTATGACGTAACTCCTAAACATAGCGCCATTTTATCTATCTAAGTACCTATTGCAACTTAATACGAGAAAATAAAAAATACGAGTCTGATATTTTTTCATTGTCTAACTGACGGACTATTTAGTTTTTAAATTTTGATACCATGGAAACTACCCAATTGTAAACGCACCCGCAACACAAGAGACAATCTTAGTACTACCGTTTTTGAAACAAGATAATGTAAGTTAAGAATTACCTCTCCAACAAACAAGCGATTGTAGACTTGCCGTTGCCGGACGTACCGACGATGGCCACCGTCTTACCAGCCGGTATCTTCAGGTTGAAGTTCTTCAATACTTTCTGTAAAAAAAATATTATTCCTACTTCTTTTAGGTGTCAATTATTTACCCTAACTCGTAAGCAGTGGTAATAAAACTGACTACAAATAATATAAGGGTAATAAACTAAATTTTATTTGAATGTCCGTCTGGTAGATTATTTTAAAACATTCGACACGTATTTTTTCTTTTCTTACAAAATTAAATACTATCGACGATATATTGATTTGAAATATCGTGTGACGTCACGATTTACTAGATTTTATAAGGTAGCGTGACGTAACGACCTCCCCCTCCTAAACTTATCTCATTAACCGACTTCAAAAAAGGAGGAGGTTATACGTTCGACCGGTATGTTGCTTTTTTTTTGTATGTAAGTACGCGCATAACTCTGAGATGCGTGAAGCGATTTGCAAAATTCTTGTTTTGTTTGAAAGGGTATACTCCCGAGATGGTCCCATTTCCATGAAGTCAGGAGATCATAACTTAATGCCCACAAAATTGTGAATTAGGTACCTATTAAGGTTTTAATGAATAATTTTGTATGGAACTTATGGCACCGACTTCTTACCTATCAGTGGGTGGGTAACCTATCAGTACTAATAATAGTTATTTTTTGCTTTTTGGTTTTGACCTTTTATTTGTTATTAGTTTTTGGTTTTTTGTTTTTATCTAAGTATTGTTAACTTATACGACAAAATATGCGTCTAATATTTTTTCATTATCTAACTGACGGACTAATTACATTCTTAATTTTCATGCACTGTTTACTACCCTAGTATTGGGTACCATTCCAAGGTCGGGTAAAATATCATTAGCGGTTTTTGGATCTTCGCAAGTTCTCAATAGTAGCATTTTTTTAAGGGGTCGAAATCATCGAATGGCTGCTCCCTGGGTGAGGCGGGAGGGAGTGTCAGACTCTTACTGACTAAAAACCACCCCGTTCCTTCTCCTGCACGTCGAGCCGGAGCCTCGGTTGCCCGTTAGGTTCTCCGCGACTCAGTAGTAGCACACAGTTTGAAATTGTGTCCACAGATATAAATATCTAATGTACGTATGTACCTCTCCCATTTTCAAATTCGGGAACATCACACTTCGTTTCCGAAAATATGTAAGTTCAATAGATATACAGTTTGTTTAAAAAAATAATAACAATAATAACTTATGAAAATATATGTCTCACCGCCTCTGGTCTGCTAGGATATGCAAAGCTGACGTCTTTGAACTCTATGTCTCCGTGGAACTCGTGGTACTTGATCACCTTCGAACCAGAACTATCCATCATTGGCTTCTTGTTTATGTACTGGAAATGTTAAGGAATAATGGTTAAAGAATGAAAACAAAAAATAAAGGAAAATCATATTTTTTTATAATAGTGTGTTGACAAAGGTTAATTTTGGAAGTATTGTAACTTTGTCTGTCTCGTTGGTCTTGTGAATGTAAATGTGACTGCATAGCAAGGGGTTTCAAGTTCGAATCCAAAGTCTGATTATCCATCACTAATTATAATTACTTTAACTAATTTTGATATAAACTCAGAGAGTTTTCGTTGCCTAATAATGATTACCTGCTTAATATTTTTCAAAATGCCTCGTTGGTCGAGTGGTCGCAGGTGCGACTGCCGGGCAAGGGGTCTCGGGTTCGATTCCCGAGTCAAGCGAAGTATTACTACGTTTTTTTTAATTCTCAATAGTAGCACGGAGGTTGGAAATGTGCCCGGTATATCGCAAGACGCTCACCCCCTATTACATGGGATTCATAGCATAAATAGTGAAAAGTGGGTGTTACATTGTACAGTGGCATAATGTGCACCTCTGCCTGCCCCTTCGGAGATAAAATATTAAATACATCTGATATTATTATTAAATTGACAACACAGAATCAACAAACAAACCACCAGCAACCAAAATTAAACCCTAAATAAAATGAACATAAGATCTAACCTCGAACACGCGTCCTCCAGCACTGATCCCTTTCACGACAGACCCGAACAGCAACGACAGTTGTGCAACAGACCGCTGTACTGTCTGAGCGTTCACTAGGAACGCCATGACGTCACCCGCTGACAACTGACCAGATGCCATTAGATGCCCGCCCATGAACATCGTGCCTAGAACCATGCTGGAAGAGAAATTTTTATACGAATTATAGTACGAGTAGTAATAGTTGCAGTTTGATTGCAAGTGTCGCGGGTTCGATTTCCGCACGGAACAACACTTTGTGTGATCCACAAACTGTTGTTCCGGGTCTGAGTGTCCTATGTATGTGAACTTGTATGTTTGTAAACGCACCCACGACACAGGACAAAATCCTAATATGGGGCAACTTGAAAAAAAAAGCGTAGAAAAAAGGTAATTGGGATGACGACAAGGTATGAAAATTAAAAATTTAATTAGTCCGTAAGTTAGGTATTTAAAAAATATTAGACACGTATTTTTTTATTTTGTCGTATAATAAAACTATATTTGGATAAAACGAATCAAAGTTTAGGCGTGGGGGCTAAAACGTCACTTCTACGTATAAAATGTACATAAAAGTGAAGTCACGCGACATTTCAAATCAATATATCGTGGAAAGTATTCGTTTCTGTAAGAAAATAAAAAATACGTGTGTAATGATTTAAAATAATCTACCAGACGGACATTAAAATAAAAATTAGTCGTCTACCCTATTATAGTGTAGAAAGATTTTACACAAGGATCAAAGAAACAAAAGCATGACGAAACATAAAGATGGTACACCTTAACTTTGGCAGTGCTTGAATAAGACGAGTTAAAAAATCGAGCACACTGGCGTATTGTTTACTACTAGCTACTTCCGCGCGGTTTCACACGCTCTGCTCAGCTCCTATTAGTTGTAGCGTGATGTTTAATAGCCTCTAGCTATGCTCGATAAATGCGCTATCCAAAACAAAAATAATTATTCAAATCAGACTTGTAGTTACGGAGATTAGCGCGTTCAAACAAACTAACAAAAAAAACAAATTCTTTCGCTTTAGATAATAGTATAAGCCTTTAGCCAAACGCCACTTCAGCGCTTGTCTACAGAGAGAGTAGAAATCAAAATGTATAGGGATGACACTGAGAAGTGTTAAAATTTACGTCAATCCCATATAATTTAGTTTTCTATTCTACAAGTAGACAAGCGCTAAATGGCATTTGGCTACGGCTGAAGATTAGAAACTCCAACAGACGTAAGGCAATGATTCACGACGATGGAAGAAACAAATGAAATACAAATAGTTACAATTGACAAGTTTCAATCATGACCCACTTTGAAAAAAATCGTATAAAATGTAATCGTATAAAGTCGCGTTTAAATCTGTCAATTTTGCTAACTCAATATGGTAGTTTCCTAAATTTTATTTTAATGTCCATCTGGTACATTAATTTAAAACTTTAGATACGTATTTTTTCTTTTCTCACAAAATTAAATACTATCGAAGATATATTAATTTGAAATATCGTGTGACGTCACAGTGTGCCACATTTTGTAGCACGTTATGACTTAACGACCTCCCAATCCTAAACTTAGCGCCATTTTATCTTAGTATTGCAACTTAATAAGAGAAAATAAAAAAATACGTGTCTAACATTTTTTTCATTATCTAACTGACGGACTAATTCGATTTTTAATTTTGATACCCTGACAACTAGCCTATTATAACCGATACCACATATTTCTAAGATTAAATAAATCTACGTACCCATTAAGGAACAAATTAGTTCCCGCCTGGAACAGTCCAATACCCAGCCCCAACTCCATACTGAGTTCAGCGGCGGCCTGGCACTCCTGCGCGAACAGTTGCGCCTCGTTCTCTTCGCCGGCGAACGCACGCACTGTGCGCATGTTTGCTATCGCTTCCTCCGCTACTAGAGTTGATTTTTCTACCTGTAGTATTTCATATGTTAACTAGCGGACCCAACAGACGTTGTTAGTTGAGCTGTTTAGGATAAATAACCTAAACATCGACTGCAGCAACATCTGCCGGGCTGATTTGTGAATCTAAACCATTCCCAGAGCCCCTTGAACACACACAAAAAAATTCATCAAAATCGGTCCAGTCGTTTGAGAGAAGTTCAGTGACATACACACTCACAGAATAATTATATATATAAAGATTAAAAGTAAATTCTGTTTCCTATCTCAATTTTCTATTTGTGACTACATACTCTGTCATTATATTATGTATGTTTTTACCATTCACGGGACCACAGAGTCCCGGTCGTTTATGTTTTTTTTGTTGTTTTGTCTTGTTTTTTTTTAATAGACGCAATAATCATATTATGACTAGGCCATACCAGTTAATCCTAGAGTATGCGTATTTATATTAGGATCAACTAGTTTGTCCTAGCTTAAACTGGTTTGTCCTATCGGGCTTAGGACAAATTAGTTTGAACTAGGCTATACTAGTTAATCCTAACGCGTATTGGAAGAACTAGTTTAGCCTAGGCAAAACTAGTTTGTCCTGAAATTGGGTTTGGCCGGTAACATATATATCTAGCTAACAAGTATGCTAAGAAAGTCAAAAGCGCTCTACTAACCCTTTTTAAAAAATTTATCTAATGAACTGCCTCATTGGCCGGGTGTTCGCAAGTGCGACTGCCGGGCAAAGGGTCTCGAGTTCGATTCCCGGGTTGGGTAAAGTATTACTAGTTTGTTTTTAAATTCTCAGTACTAGCACGAAGTCTGGAATTGTGCCCGGTATATGGCAATAGGCTCACCCCCTATTACATGGGACTCATAACATAAATAGTAAAAAGTGGGTGTTACATTGTATAGTGGCATTAAGTGCACTAATGTACACCGCTGCTTACCCCTTCGGGGAATAAAGGCGTGATGTTATGAGTATCTAATGAAGCCTAGTACTAAGCTGGTAGCGTGTTCTACCAGGAAGAGAATTTTAAGAATTTTGTCCAAAGTGTTATTGCTCTAAAACTAACAAATACACCAAATATTCACTTACCTGCGTCTGCGCTTCTCTCGAGAGCTTTCTAAGCAAGGATCCAATGAATGTGCCTCCAATAACTACCGACGGCACACAGACCAACGTTAAGCCTGTCAACTGCGGCGATATCACTAGGAGACTGACCGAAGAACCGACCACCTGGAAATTGAATTTACACCTTTATTGTGTGAATAATAAGTGTGAGTTTTAATTAACTAATATTGATATAATAGGAATGATGACAGAGTACGAAAATTAAAAATGTAGATAATGATAAATTTTAGACACGTATATTTTTATTTCGTTGTTTAATAAAATGATACTTAATATAACGAATCAAAGTTTAGGAGTGGGGGCTAAAACGTCATTTCTACGTATAAAATGTTCATAGAAGTGACGTCACGCGACATTTCAAATCAATATATCTTCGAAACTATTCGTTTCCGTAAAAAAAATAAAAAATACATGTCTAATGTTTTTAAATAATCTACCAGACGGACATTAAAATAAAAATTAGTCATCTACCCTATTGAACATTCAACTGATATAATATAATTGATTAAGTATAAAAACTAACCTGAGTAATAGCTCTAAGTCCACCTGAAATCGTTTGTTTGAAAGAACTCTTGAAATCTTGCACGTCTACTGTCAGCCTGAAATGCAGAAAATATACATAAGAAAAATGACTGTAGTTACAAGAACAAGACTGCCTAGTTAGCCGAGTGGTCGCAAGTGCGACTACCGGGTAAGGGGCCTCGGGTTCGATTCCCGGGTCGGGCAAAGTATTACTGGGTTTTAAAAAAATTCTCAGTAGCAGCACGGAGTTTGGAATTGTGCCTGGTATAATAATATGGCAAAGTCAAAGCATTTATTTCAATTAAACCATAATTTGGTACTTTTGAAACGTCAACAAATACAAAATAAAAAATTAGTCTGTCAGTCAGTTCGTCAGTGAAGCTAGGTGAAGCTAGGTGAAGTAGGTGGCAATAGGCTCTCCCTATTACATGGAACTCATAACATGAATAGTAAAAAGTGGGTGTTACATTGTACAGTAGCGTAATGTGGACTTCTGCCTACCCCTTCGGGAATAAAAGGCGTGATGTTATGTTACGTTCTTATAGAACAAGGCAAACTACTTACTAATATATAACTGACACGAATATCAACCTAAATTCATTTAGCACAATACATTGGATGCCGTTTCGGACAATGATGACCGACGCTAGTGGATAATCAGCCTTAAACAATTACGGTCGTTGGAAATCACATGTTATAACAGTGTTTATGAATGAAATAAGTAACTAATTTCAAGAATAAATTAGCTGCCGAACAGGAACTTCAAATTGTATACTCTGTAGGTATAGTAAAATCACAACACTTATTCCCAAGGGACAGGCAGAGGTACTCATACTACTTATACCCAATTTTTATTCGACAGTTAAAGGCTTTAATGTCTCTAAGACAATAAGTTTAAGGTTGCCCATAATTCTACTTCTACTACAGTCAGTCAATTTTATTGGATTTTGTGCCTTTATTCTTCTAAAATAAAGTCGACAATCCAATACATACCTATTGACAAGTTCTCCGGTCCTCTCCTGGTCAAAGAATGCAATATCCTGTAGTAGGATAGACTCGAAGAGCTCCTGCTTCATCTGCGAAGCCACTCGCTCACCCACTTGTGAGAGGAGATGGATGTACATGAATGTGAATATTGCCTAAAAACAATTACAATCATTTTATACTAGCATCTGCCCGCGACTTTGTACGCGTAATCCCGTTTCTCCCATTCCTATAGGATTTTCAGGACTTTTTTCTGTCATAAGAACCTTCTCCTGACGATAACAAACACAACAAAAAAAACTCATCCAAATCAGTTTAGCCGTTCTCAAGTTATGTTATGAAGTTATTGGATTGGTTGTGTTGAGCTTATTGGCATGTTATTGGAGAGGCTTATGTCCAGTAGTGGACAGAAACTAGCTGATGATACTGATAAATCGATAATGACTTACACCTGTATGGTTGGTCAAGTAGTTGCAAGTTACCAGGCATGGAATATGTTCGATAGGCAAAAATATAAATGGGAATATTTTCTATTTTTTTTTAAATTCTTAGTAGTAGTACAGTTGGACATCATGCCCTGTAGTCTAGATTTAAAAGTTAGAGTAAATATAATTCTAGAATCCTGCTCTTTTGGGAAATTTTAAGGTTTGTCATTATTTAATAATAATAATAATTTATTTAGAGACACACACTTACATTACAATTGTGCAGATATGAATAACAACACTGGACAACTGGCTGCTGCACAACATGGTGCTGGTTCAATTCCCGCACGGATCAACTCTTTGTGTAATCCACAAATTGTTGTTGTCATATGTATGTGACCCTGTATGTTTGTAAACACACCCACGACACAGGAGAAAATCCTAATGTGGAGCAATGTTTTTAAAAAAGAGGAAATATTTTACATTGTCCAAAGCAGCTGAACATAAAGTAAGAATAGAATGGTTACCCATGGGGCCCAAACTAGGCACAGCCTGTATCTTGGTGGCCAAACACCAAAGTGGCTTAACACAGCTCTATGTTTGGCTATAATGTTTTTTTTTCTAATAAATCATTGCTCCACACTACGATTTTCTCCTATGCCATGGGTGCATTTACAAACATACAAGGTCACATACACATGACCCCCAGCCCCGGAACAACAATTTGTGGATTACACAAAGAGTTGCTTGGTTCGGGAATTGAACCCGGCGACACGCTCCGCGGCAGCCAATTGCCTGACCACCGTACCAACCGAGCAGTCAAATGTCGGGAATTATTACAAAAAAGATATTTACCTGTCCAATATACAAGGCAACCAGTTTGAGTGCAGGCCCTCTGATGTTATCCAAGAAGTCCGCACTAGGATTCTGTCTCTGGTTGGCTAACACATTCACAACTTCTCCTAACACCGCTGGTATGTAAACGTTGAAGAAAGCCACCACTAAAGCTGACTGGAAGAAAAATAGAATCCCTCTTTTATATGAAGTTACATAAAAGTCGATGGAGTAGTTATTATGGATTTTACAAATTATTCTTTAGAAGTAGATGAAATAATAGAAAAAAATATACACAAACATTTTTCTTAGATAACATTGAAACGTAACAATTTCCATTCTATATACCTTTAATTCATCAGAATAGCATTTAGAAATCATTTGTCACTTTAAATACTGTATACTACTTTATTTCAGTTTAGACTTCAAAATTGAAATAATATAAAGACAATATCAACTCATTCTTAAAGGCATATTGAGCTTTACTCACCCCTATTGCTGCTAATAAGAGCCATTTATGCGGTTGTAAATAAGAGAGGAATTTATCCCAGTCAAACTTCGAATTGTCTTCGTCTATATTCGGCCTTCTTTGGATAACCCTAGAAGGGACTGTATGGGCCTTACAGTACGCCGGACCGTTGCTAAGAAAATAACGAGCCCCCAACGCCAAACTGACCCCAGTACATAACTTCCATGGACTACAGAGCAACAACAATCCCGGTTTTGCATTTTTCTCCGACGAAGTTTTAACCTCAGAAAAATATCGTTTTACGACATTAGACGGTTTACTTTTCATAAGATTCGTAAAATATACATTGCTTTTAGCTGTTAGCAGTCTGTAAAAAATGTTTTATGTTAGTATTACGTGTAAATTCATGTTTATTTATTAGTATTTATTAGTATATGTTCACGAATATTTACCTTTGTCTAACAAGCTGACAAGAGCTCGTTTGCAGCAAATGCCACATTTTTATAAAATTACACTTAATATTCTACAGGACAAACACTTAATTACACATTATTTTATTCTTAATTATCAAGATTATGTAGATTATTTCCTGAAAATTGATTTGATAACCTCAATCTTTAATCAATGTCATTGTCATAATATCATAACGTAACAGTTTTGGTTCAGAAATAAGAATGATATTTTGGCTAATAATAATTTACAGTTAAAGATTTGGATGTTATTTTAATAAACGTAATAACTATGAAGACCAATAATTATCGTAACATAGGTACTTAAATGTTGAAAAAACACTAATAACTTTTAGATTTCTGAACGAAGCATCTTAATTCCATTTCACGCAGCATGCACTTTACAGCTGTCAAATAACTTCCAATATTTTGCTAACAGATAGCAGCACAAGAATGTAATGTTTGTTGTTTGTCAACAAAGTAAGTAATCCCTTTCGGTAACAGATTACTAGATGCTAGATTATTTATTTTTTTTCTTATTTTTAAATCAAAATAATTTTACGTACCTACTAAGTATCTTCTTATCATTAGGTACTACCTTAGGTAGGCCTAAGTAAAGTACTTACTAAGTACTAGTCAGTAAAATAATGCAAAATCAGCACAATTTAAGCTATAATTTTATTACAGAATTTCTAAATTTATTTCAATCGAGATAAAACAGTCCCATCACAACGTGAATAAAATAAAACTATTCCACACACCAATTGACCACAGTTATAAATTTCACCCCTGACGAGCCACGATCTAAACGCCCCTTACAGCACCGCCACTATAATCCCCGGCCCCTTCACCATTGAAATTCACTAAAGTGCTGACAATAAAACGCATTCCACATTAAATAATGTTTAATTTGTTTGAATTCATTGTTGCTGTTTAATAACTTGCAATGTTGCATGGGACCGAATTCTGTTTGAGGGTAATGGGCAGTTATTTCATTGTGTCTTTCGAGTAATTAGAACCAATCAAATATAGTCTGTATTTCCTGAAGGGTATAAATAACCTGGGTGTCTTCAAGGCCCGAGTGAATAGGTTGCTAATGGGTCGACGTACTCCATCGTAGACCGCATCATCGCTTACCATCAGACGAGACAGTGGTCAAACGTATCGGTCCATCAAATATGAATTTAGGATATGAATATTTGCCGCTACAATTTTTTTATAATTATTATTACCTGTAATTACCGTACTTCGTTCAAATAAACGTTCTTCTTATTCTTATTCTTACTCCAACTCTTCACGGGGGATATCTTCAAGGACTATTCCATTTCAGCCGAGAAAGGGCAATAGCGTTCTTTTACAAACCTGGACCTTTAACGCACCAATGATGGCTCGATCTCCAATCATCTACCAACTGTAAAGATTGTGGTACCTACTCCCTCACTAGTAGAGGTCATTAATCAAGCAGTGGATTGTCCAGACCTATTGATGTTCAGAAACTGGTCATGATGGTCCCAATAGTAAGGCTGTAAAATTAAATGTGTCTGATGCCCGCTATCTTGCCCTGTGCACCTACAGCTATCTTCTTCGATCTTGGGAGTTACCGCCCGTCGTCCTCATTATTCAAGCTTGTATTTTGTTGATAATTTCCCAATTAATTTTCTTCTTCATTGGGTAGAAAAGTCATTTACTTATCTACTTATAGTGTTTCTATTTTATACTCTTTAAAGTTCTTAAGCAAAAATGTTCATACAACATAAGTACAACAATCCACCAAGGAGTATAAAGTTCAAAAAGTATTTTCCTTTATGCTTAACACAGAACGCAGTGCGATCATTGCGTTGAATAAAAAAAATCACAGATGGTCAAGTGGCGGGAACGCGCCCCGGTTTTGGCGCCAATATAACCTATTGTTTAACACAAGTGGGCCGTACAAAACGGTATTATTTGTGTATCGCTCGTTTTCATTTGATTTTATGCCATTTAAAGTTGTTTGGAGAATTTGATTGTTGATAATTTCATTTTGAGTGGTAGGATAATTTTTATTTTATTAATATTTTTTCTTTGTTGACATCTGACGCTGTTATAGGTACCGTATCTTAAAATAATAAACTGTGGTCGTAAGAAGAAGAAGAAAAGGTATTACCTATCTTCTGAAATGAGTAGTTGAAGAGATTTGAATCAGAAAAGGAGGCACCTACACCTACTTTTTAAGTACAAAAGTCAGTCTAATTTTATAATTCATAGAATTTAGGGTTATACCTACCTAAGGTACTCTACCCATTTTCTTTTAAGTGGGATTGGTACATCTTAAATCTTTCCAAGAATAAAACAAGCTTTTAATATTTGCGCAAATGTTAACTAGATAAGGAGGTGATCTTTAATTTGTTGTGTTCTTAAACTGTCAAACACCAAGCGGTCACCGGTGACCGCAACCTATTGTTCTATAATTGTGTCTATAATGACGGTACTCGACGAGTTAATATTAAACAACTTCAAATATTAAAAGTTGTCAATTAAAAATAAAATGCAATATTAAGATTTTTTCTAATTTTAGGGTTTAGTATTACAGATCATGTTTTATTTGTATTAATAGTTTTAGTCCTTAGTTTTTGGCATTTGTTAGATAGGTTTAAGTTATGATGGAACCGGCGTGAACTGTGTTCAAAAGTTCCTAACAAAAGAATTAAAAAAATAAGGTTTTTTACCGATTAACAGTTTTAAGGTAGTTCAAGAGATTTAAATTTTCGTATGTTCCGATTCTGATTCCGACATCTCTCCCGCCCGCCCGTCGGCTTGTCTTCCGTCGCTATCGCGCTCCGCCGTCGGTAAATATAAAATCACTTGCTCGGTTAAATTGTCTTAAACTGACACCTAATCAAAGCAAAGGTAACGCTTTCTAAAACAAACACTAAAACAAATACATCTAATGGAGTCTAAGACATGCCATAGAATTTTTTTGAACAACTTTGTCTAACTTAAAAAATGAAGTTAAGACCTCTTGTTTGTCGCGGAGAGCCTAACGGGTAACCGGGGCTTCGGCTCGATGTGCAGGAAAAGGAACGGGGTGGTTTTTAGTCAGTAAGAGTCTGACACTCCCTCCCGCCTCACCCAGACGGGAGCAGTTATTCGATGATTTTCCCCCCTTAAAAAAAGACCTCTTGTTTGGCAGTCGCACTCTACCAAAACGGTGATCCCATTAATGAGTCGACAGATATCTAAATCTTCACAAACTCCTCTACTTAGTCACTGATCAACGACCCCTCAAATAAAATTCTCACAATAATAGACAATATTAATCATCGTTCGATTCCCACACTGACCACGATAATGACCGCAAATCGGCAAATCTCAGTAAACAAATAAATCACTTAGAAATTAATTTATTTTAAATCACAATCACTTAAAATGTAGGCATGGGAAAGGGCACAGGGATCCGCTGAATACACTTTCGCTTCCAGCCACCTTGAATCATTAAGAGAGACCTAAATTGTGTACCTAAGTTTAATACTTAGTGAACATCTTGTAACTGGTATGCTAATAACAGAAATTATGACCAGATATATTTGAACAAAATACTTAATCAATACAATACTTGGAACAGAGATCATAGTTATGAAATAATAATGCATTGTTAAAAATAGAACATAAATCGGCATTGTATTGCTAAACTTTTTATTCGAGGAGTACAATCATACAATGACTTCTTCCACTTGGGTGATGCGAGACTCTTACTGACTAAAAACTACCCCGTTCTTACTACTGCTCTTCGAGCCGGAGCCCCGGTAACCCGTTAGACTTTCCGCGGCTCCGTATCAGGCATCAGCCCTACTGGGCCCTATCTGTGATGGTCTGATGGCTATTTAAGGCGCGCGCGGAAGCTATTGCTAAAGGTTTGGTTTCTGTCAAAAATGTCTTTTAGTCGACTTTTAATTAACATATAAGAAGAATCCCAATAGAATGATGTACTAGTAAATATATTCTAAACTGCAATCAGCACAATGCTTGTTTGAAAATCAACAGATCTTTTTATAAACTAAGTTTAAAAATTCAACTTTAACCCCCTTTTTTTGTTCTCTTAAATGTAACAAACACGTTTCTGAAAACCACATCAAAATCAGTTCGTCCAATGGCTAGATAATAGCGCACAAACATTTACCTACTTTAACTCGTCGAGTAGTGTCATTATAGACACAATTATAGAACAATAGGTTGCGGTCGCCGGTGACCGCTTGGTGTTTGACAGTTTAATACAGCTCAAACTGCGAACCTCCTCCTGTTATTGAAGTCCATTAGTAAAGAAAATTCACAATATAAAATGGCCTAAGTACAAGTCACTAACCAATGTCCAATATCAGCTACCACAACACCACAAGACCTGACAAACTCGACCGATTTGTCTATTGTAAGGTATCATAACAATTTAATCGTCCATCCATCTGTCACAGCTACCAGCTACCAGCCTTTGGGTAAATATCAATAATGTTCAATAACTACTAATACCTTAATTTATTATCTGTCTGACAAAATACCCGGTCGTTTAGACCCTTTATTAACCCCAAATGGTCGGGGCGTGATATTTTGAATTCGCGTGGGATTATTACGCTTTTATTAGTTGCATGAATAAATAAATAATTTTGTCTATGCTGATGTTCGGTGCGTTATTCGATATTCGAAAATTAAAATTTCCACAAGTTTATAATTTTCAATAAAATTACGCTTTCACATAATTGCACACATAGTGGTACCGCCTATGTAGTAGGTAGTCTAGTAAAAATATCTAAAAATTAAATAGTAAGTAACTATTTCGTCAAAATTTTTTTATTGAATTTATATTATTCTTATTTTTTTTTTTATTTAACGATGATATATTTATATAGTACCTACTTAGGTATGAACCACAACTACACTAGGTACAGAACGTAAAAAAAATATGACGTCACAGCCTAAATAAAGTAATGGTATCTACCTAGGTACTTAGACGTTAGTTGAACGTGTTTTAAATAACAAAAGAAGTTAATAATAAAAATTTAATTATACGAGTACCTATTAACATTTTCGTTCGATTCCCGCACGGAACAACTCTTTGTGTGATCCACAGATTGTTGTTTCGGGTCTGGGTGTCATGTGTATTTGATTGCGAATAATTTTCGAATAAGGCTAAATTTAGCTTAC